TGAGTTAGATGAATAGAGTTCACCCCAATACACCCGAAGTCCATTTTACGAGTTTCTTTTTTACTCACACCTAGGAATCAGAAGTCTTGCCTTCCTATTAACATTGTTTGCATTTCTCTTATCTCCGACACGTGCTACATGTTCCGCTCACCTCATCCGCGGAGGCACGATAACTGATGAGCCAAACGTGAGATGAGAGACAAGTCGCAAATTTCATTATCAAGGATCCGATACTGTGCTGCCTGATCAGGTCTATCACATATCTCAGGAGGCGGTGACAATGATCATGGAGCAGTGGTGGAATGATGACTTCCAGGGTAAAACTGAATAAACTCAATAAAAACATGGTCGAATACTACTTGGTCCACTAAGAATCTCTCATAAAATCACCCGGAATTGAACCCGGGGCTCCGTGGTGAGAAGCCGGCGCCTGATCACTGGTGGAAGGTACGACTTATGAAGATCCTCACTATACAGTTTTGCCCAGCACCTTCCATCTTGGAATCAAGTATTAACCCTAGCATTTTGGTCCCAAATACTCTCAATCTACGAGTATGTTTCTGTCTCCTAGTGAAACATCACGTTAGACACCAGTACAAGACAACTACAGTCTGATTCGAGGGGTGACCTGTCATTTACAGGCCTTTGCAAATCCATAATCCGGTTAGCGATAAGGTCCTGGTACGGCGAGTCAGAGCCTCTCAAATTACAAAGTACGGAAGTGTTATCCAAGGCTCGGTAAGTGTTAAAGTCAGTATCGAAAGCCAATCACAAAAATGCGCTGCTATTATACCTTGCAGGAGAGCTAATTAGCTTAGNGTTCGGCAGAGATTCAGACGCCTCAAGAATAGAAATGTAGAGCGTTAGCGCTAAGACCAACCCGTTCGGCAGAGATTCAGACGCCTCAAGAATAGAAATGTAGAGCGTTAGCGCTAAGACCAACCCGTTCGGCAGAGATTCAGACGCCTCAAGAATAGAAATGTAGAGCGTTAGCGCTAAGACCAACCCGTTCGGCAGAGATTCAGACGCCTCAAGAATAGAAATGTAGAGCGTTAGCGCTAAGACCAACCCGTTCGGCAGAGATTCAGACGCCTCAAGAATAGAAATGTAGAGCGTTAGCGCTAAGACCAACCCGTTCGGCAGAGATTCAGACGCCTCAAGAATAGAAATGTAGAGCGTTAGCGCTAAGACCAACCCGTTCGGCAGAGATTCAGACGCCTCAAGAATAGAAATGTAGAGCGTTAGCGCTAAGACCAACCCGTTCGGCAGCGATTCAGACGCCTCCAGAATAGAAATGTAGAGCGTTAGCGCTAAGACCAACCCGTTCGTTACGAGAACATCATTATGTAATAATACTTATAACGGTAAAGTTGTCCCTATGCTTAGTTAATTAAGCACTATGCCATGAATGGCGTATTGGGAAGTGCATGTATAGATCCACATTTTCTTGATCTCGGCACTAGTTGGAGGTGAGTGGTCAGCTTCACGCCCCTGCCGCTTTACCTCCGGGGAAAGAGCCTCAGGTACCCACTGGATAGGAGGCTGGGTGGACCCCTGGGTCGGTCTGAACGACATGGAGAAGTGAAAATTCTTGACCCTACTGGGACTCGAACTCCGACTCCTCGGTCTTCCAGATCGTAGGCGGTCACTATACCGACTACTCTATCCCGGTTCACAAAAATGCCTGTATCATCTGCAATTTGAATACGCGGCAAAGTTAAGCTTTGGAAATCATGTCGACAAAAAAGTTACGTTCTCGAAGAGCGCCGGACCAGACGAAAGTCGGGGAATACCTTCTAGCATTCAGTTTAAAATCGCCTGTCTTTCGATCTCTCTAAAAAATGTACGAATCGAAAAAACAACTATGGTTTCATGTGTTTTGTAAGGGTATTAAACTTGCGCTTTCACCCTAAGGGAATTACATACACTGCGGGTGTTTGGGAGCAATGTGCTGAGGATAGTATTCAGACTTAAGACAGTAAGGATGGAGAAAACACCATAATGAAATCTTCACGGTTTATATCCATCGTCAGATATTAGTAGGCAAATGAAATGAAGGAGGATTGACTTGGTGGGCCAAGCACGTAGCATGAGAGATGAATTCGATATTTTATCCAGAACACTTGAAAGAAAGAGAGTACAGGAAATACTCTGGAGTAGACAGAGGTACTTATACTCGTATAATAACAAAATTGATTCTACAGTTATCGGTTGTGAGCGAGCGGCCTCGATTCAACTGACTGATGAAGGAGTCCATTGATAGTCATGAAGGTTCGGACTGCACAAAAAGCTTATCATCTCTTGACAGGTGAGCAGCTATTAAGGCCCCACACAATACAATGCTACCCACTTTCGTTATTAACCAAAAGTACCCAGTAAGAAACTATTAATACAGAAGCACGCTGCAGGTAGACTGCAAAATATCCTGACAGGACGTCAGCTAGAACATGGTGAATGACGGACTGATAATCAATACAGGCTCTGATGGGGCTTCCGACACAGTAAACTGGTATCTGAGTCCTCGGAGTAAATCTGCGCCCTTCTCTTACAAAATTTAGACTTCACGTCATGATGACGTAGATGGGGCTGGAGATGTATCTGCAGACATTATATACTTCCATGGAGGTTAGTGGTCAGCTTTATGCTCCGAGCCCTGTATTTACGGTACCCGGAAGATTGGTAGGGAGATCTAAATTTTGTGGTGATGAGAGATGTTCCTGTCCCTCCTGGAACGAGAATTCCAGTCCGTAGCCCGTAGCCAATAAGAGCGCCCCGTCCGCTTAACCCCCGAGAAAGAGCCCCCGATACCTACTGGACAGCAGGTTGGGTGGACCCCTGAGCCGGTCTGGACGAAAATTCTTAACCATACAGGGACTCGAACTCCAACCCCTCAGTCGTCCAGCCTGTAACCAGTCGCTATACCGACTACGCTAACCCGGCTTCACATACAAATCCAATAATTATTAAATTCTAATCTTCGAGAAGAATGAGAATAATTTATCTTAGAAATCATTTATGGTAAAGCAATTCGGCACAAACGACACCAATAAATAAAATTATTAATAAGGTAAGGTAACTTTCAGCCATGTTTTATAATACTTCTCTTAAAAGAAAATAAGACTTACGATCGCGTACCATAGAAACTTTAGAACACGTGGACGAATTCGCATTCTTTTCTCGGTCCCGAAGTCATGGTATCAGCTATTTCTTACAGTCTAAGATGCTACTGAATATCATGGTCTTTTGTGACGTGAAGCTGTGTGTTTCGCAGGAACCTGCTATCTCCATCTTTAGGGCAAAAAGGTGTCTACTCTGAAGACGGAGGCAATGGGTTTCTCCGAAATCTTGGTGCCTAACCTAATTACACGGCGCCACATCCAACAAAACCATGGTATACATGCTGACCGCCGCAGACCTCACCGTCATCTGTCACTGGGGTTAGAGGTACCTGTTACTGGCAAAGAACTGACTAACGGGTTTCCGGCAGACTTCGACCTTGTAGCTGCACTCTGGTCCTAGCGTCCATTCAAGTTTCTTTCAGTCGCAGCTTCTGGAACTTAACCTAAATACACATTGTTCCACAGTACAGTATTGATTTTACCAGGGCTTAGTGAACGTATATCTGTAATTACCTCAACTGCAAGCCAAATTTCTGAAGCAAATTGATGAAATAATTCGGTTCTTCCAAAACAAAGACCAGGGACAGAGTCAAGTATGGAAAATATATTATTATATATTAAATGTAGATTTAGCCTGATTCTTAAATTTCAGCTGCGTGTTAAATACTCTAATTACACTAGCAAATTGTATCGCTGGCCGTACTTCTAGAATATAACATGCTTTCGGGCTAAATCCTCCCCTCTCCCCGCAAAAAGACTAGATTCATTTTAATCAGAATATTTCTATAAGTTCCGACGTTACGTTGCTTTATTCTAAAACTCCTGACACAAGAATTTAATTATGTGGAGAATGTTTATAGTATTTGTATATTTCCATATGGTTACAAGTTCTATAAAAGCAGACAGCCTGATACATAATTAAAATATTCAATGCAGAATTCTTCTCGTCAAAAAAAATTATTTTCATAGATATTCAATTTTACTGCAGCGTATTTTATTATACTTTATCTGTAAACGGAAGTAGGCATTTTGAAACACTCTCTATCTCTCTCTGTTAAATTAGTTCATAAATTTTTACACCGAGGAAATCCCAGCAGATATCTAAAAGACGGTGTATTTTTTTTAATGCTAGTGGGGTGGGACTAAGTCCCTTGTACTGCGGCCACTTCTGGCCTATTGTACCAGCCCAAGATGATAGGTGAGGGTGATTGTGGAGCAATTGGTGGAATGAATATTGGCAGGGGAAACCGAAGTACTCGAAAAAAACCTGCCCCGGCGCCACGTTGTCCACCACAAATCCCACTTGACCAGACCCGGGATGGAACTCGGGCCGCCGCGGTGGGAAGCCAGCGACTAACCGCTTGAGCTATGGCGCGGCCCATTAAAAATACATTGTAACTGACTCTACTCCAAACTGAGTAATGAACCAAATGCAAGGGCTTTCGGGCTCTTGTAAATTCCAAAAATGCACCAATGCGTAACCGTAAAACTGCACAACTAACAGCAGTGGGTAAGGACTTTATTTAACGCGTGGTTCTTTCGGGTTCATCCACCAGGTTCAGTCTGGTTCGTTACTTACGACACTGTACCAAATAAACAGGTTATATACCTCTGAATGATAAATTACAAGAGGGGTACGGACTGCCCCGATGTGCAGATTCGTCGAGATTTCTCTTCATGCAAAATATCGCGATATGAGTTCATCTGAAAACAGGATACAACAGTTTTATGCCGAGCACAACACAGCTATTCACTGGAACACTTCTCGCAGAATTTATGGAACTTAGAAATGCGAACAAATGACAGGAGATGATCAAGGTGATAAGTGTCTGGAATCGATCTAAGGATCTCCCGAGTGAAATGTGACTTATTTCAACTTACTTGAAGAATCCCAATACTCCCGTTTCTGAATGACATCTTGCACGTCGTCATCCGGTTCCGGTGAAGTTCTGGAGGAGAGATCAAAATGTCCCGTAGGACACACTTCACCCGGTAACATCCCAACAACTGTCCTGGGATTACCACCCACGGCTAGCAACATTTTCACAGCCCCACACACTCAATCCTCTGTCATCACAGCATTATCATCACATCGAGCGGCGCAAACACAAGCCAAGGCTTCAACGATCGCTGCCGACTAACAGTCCAGGGACACATCGGTCTGGCCATCGCGCCGGTCGCTGGCTGCTCCCCACCCCCGACCTTCCCTGCACAACGCATGCGCCATCAAATTTGGCATTTCGGTATTTTGGAACTTGTCACCAATTCTCAAGGGGCTGATACTAAGAGCTCTTTCGCAAATGAGATTGTATATATGGAATAAGAAAGACTACAATGGCCTAAGGAGGAAAACGCTGCTACTTTTAAGTGAAGGCTTTAGAAAGGGTTCAGCACTGAACAAACTTCACAGAATAAGAGTTTTATTAGAGAAGATAACAGTCGCTCGGCTACTCCAGTGTTCGCTAAAGCACTGCCACTAGTCCCTATGCTGAGCCAGATAAATCCAGTTCACATCTTCCCATCCAATTTCCTTAATATCCATTAAATAGTACTCCTGTCACTGATTAAGTTTTCAAAGTGGACTCTTCCCTTCAGTTGGATCCATTTGTTGCCACTTAAGTTTACGACTTTCAAAATACGACTATGGCCATTAGCGTACATAAAATCTTCAGGCATTTTACACAGCACCATCAGCTCTGATATTCCGGCGTTGCAAATCTTTTCCCGGCAAAGCTCAACGGTGACAAAGCGAATGAAAAGCACAGACGCGTTTATTTTGTATTTCGTTTCGTATAGGCTACACAAATTTGGGGAAGAAAATAATATTTCAGATTATAGTGGAGGTAAAGTTGACCTTCTGCTTAATTAATTAAGCACCATGCCATGAAGATATACGACGGAATGGGGTATAGCTCCACCATTTTTGACCTCGGCACTTGGTGGGAATGGTCAGCTTCACGCCCTGGTCGCTTTACCCTAGGGGTAAGAGACCCTGGTACTCATTGGTTCGGAGGATGGGTGGGCTCCAGAGCCAGTCTGGACTCTCTGAAGCAGAGAAAAATCTCTCGCCCAGCCTGGATCGAACCCCTGTCGCCCAGCTTGCAGTCCGTCGCTATATTGTCCCAGCTATCCAGACTCCCAAATTATAGTTATATACCGTATTAATGAAAGGTAACATTTTCGTCTGCTTAAGCTCTAGGCCATAAAGACGTAAGAGGGAAATACATAAAAGTCTACGCATTCTTAATTTTTATTCTTCGCGCTTGGCCCTCTTACTCTCGGAAACAGGTCCTTGTCCTCGCTGGACAGCAGATTATGTCGACCTGGATAATGTGGCTATGCCTGTGTCAGGAACTGAAACCTAACCACTCTCTCCGTAGCCTGTCACCTCGCTAAGTAAGTTAATTCTAACCCTTATCAACATCTGTATGTTTTGTACAACGCTATATAGGATAACCCGCTTTAATACTTGCTAACCAAATTACTATGGAGCGACACGTTCAATGCCGCTATATTTAAACCCTACCTACAAGGTTCAGTCCATTCACATGCTCAGAGCTTATTTCACCGAGATCAATTTCGGATCTTTCCCACTTCTCTTTTCGGATCTTCCAACTGAGAGATTCTCTAGCGGCTTCCCCCCTGTTCAGCTCATCGGCAAATCCCTAATTCCAGATCACTGCGCTTCTGCGAGAAAGGGACACTATGAGTGTCAGAGGCTGAATAATTCAGGTTTTAGAAAAGGAACGTGCGCAGGTAACAGCAGTTTCTCGGATCTGGGTCTTGCTAAAGGTAGAACAGTAACTTTGGTAACGACTTATAAAGCGACATACCTCAGCCGACGGCAGAAAACAGAACTTAACGGCATACCGAGCAGATAGGGTGTAGCGGCAACGTTCTGGACTTCTGTTAGGAGGGTAAGCGGTGCGTATGTTAGCCGGGATAGCTGAAAATTTGGTTCAGGCGTTTCGTGGTTTTCCTCATTACTATAGTCAAATGCCAGTAGAGTGTCTCAAATAGGCCACGACCGTTTCCTTCTAAATCCTTTCCAAATCATCTATCTATCTATATTTCAGTTGCTCCCACTTTGAGCATACTGCATGAAATTCTTCGTTTCACTTCAGTTTATTAATCATAGAAAGTCGGTAGAGCTCCTTGGACGGGGGATCAGCCCACCTCAAGGCCGCTACGTAACACAAACACAGAATACAGACAAACAGACATCCATGCTTTGAGTGGGATTCGAACCCACGATCTCAGTGTTAGAGCGAGCGAAGACATTTCATATCTTAGCGCGGCCACTGTGATCGACTATCGTTCATCGATCAGCCCTACAATCCAACGCTATACAGTCTCGTTACTGAAAATGTACCGTTAAGTAACCAATGGGAAAATGATTCCGCTTTATGGACATTTTGCCCAATTCGTTAAGTAACCTTAATTAACATTGTTGCACTTCACGAAATATACTGTCATGTAAGACAGAACACTGTAAGCACCGTATTGCACGCAAGGCTATTGCATTTGTTATCATAATGGCAGTTTACAATTATTAGGCCTTCTTTACAAAGCAGAGAGAGAACGTCCGTCCGTCCGTCCGTCTCTGAGAGCCTTAACCCCTTGATAGACATGTAATGCCCGGATTACGCAAGGTCATAAATGGAAATTTCCATGTATCCTATAACAGGTAAAGGTAAAGCTATCCCTGTACCAGACTGTGGAGACCCATAGGGTTGTGAGACGTCGAGGCTCCCACATCATCTAGACAATCGGTTCGCAGATGGCGGTGAGGAAGATTCCTGGTACACATTTCTGTTAGAGGCTGAGTCGACCCCAGGGCTATAATGCGGCCGGAAGGATTAGGTAAATTGAAAAAAAAATCCAATGACCTCATCGGAACTCGAACCCTCAACCTTCCGGCTTGTAGCATAGTGCCTCAACCAACTACGTTACCGCGTGTCCCCTTGCGTCCCACAAAGCGTTCTTCAAACAGGCCTATTGTTGAAATTCTATATGGAAGATTTCCACTCCATCCAGTTCGGGAACGAATGTGAATCAGTCAGTCAGTTAATGACATATGCCGTTGCGTGAACAATGACACGTAACTACTAACACTTCTGGCTTTCATAAGCCAATGGGATATTCGGACATACAAAGGACTCTTCATCCGTAAGGTTTTCTACACAATGCATGACGTTACCCTTTTCGTAGACCAGATGGACTATACCATAAGTTTGTTGTGAAATTCCAGTTTGCTAGCCAGAACTCTAGAGTCCAGGCCTTGTTTGTATATCTATAATTACTTCTGTACACTCTTATCGAGCAAGAAATGTTTAGTTCCGCCATTGATTCGCATGACGTAGTGAACTGGAAGCCAGACTGCAATTCCTGGCGCAGCCCACGTTAATACATACGAACATTCATGCAGAACGTCTCTCCTGCTCATTCAAATAGAAGCATTGTACAAAACCAAGGCAATCTGTTGCATTCAACGGAAGCGCGCTGTACACACTACCTGAGGGGCAGATCAGATCCAAGCCGTAAACAAGAGACAAAACTACCGGGTTCTCAAGGTTCAAATTAATAGTAAGCTTCATTTATACTGCAATAAAGAACACGCTGTTTCATTATTGAAATTCGCAGTCACTATGCAAATTAAGAACGAAAGGGAAACGTGACTATTCTAAATAAGATTTCGTAACCTCCTAAAAACGACGCAGTCCTTTCAATTCGACCGTCGCCTCATACCAGTGTTTCTCGAAGTGTGAAACCCGATATTCAGACATGTAAAGGTAAAATGTAAAGCTATCCCTGTAACAGGCCGTGGAAGCCCATAGGGTTGTGAGACGTCGAAGCTCCCACATTTTCTCTAGGCAATCGGCTCACAGATGGCGGTGAGGTTGTCAGCCTTACGCGCCGGCTTCCCTTTACTCCCAGGAAGATTCCTGGTACTCATTTCTGTTAGAGGCTGAGCCGATCCCAGGGCAATAGTGTGGCTGGAAAGATTAGGTCAATTGAAAAATCCAATGACCTCATCCGGAATCGAACCACCGATCTTCCAGCTTGTAGCACAGTGCCTCAGCCAACTACGCTAATAGGCCTACACACAGTATAATTTCAAAACGCGTTTTTGATACCTCGTTGTCCTTGGTATTACCTTATCGCGTACACAAATGAATTAATACAAGGCCGATGCAATGGCAACATAGGAGGGAGACGTGTACTCAATCTAGATCAAATGTTGGCGCATCATGACGAAACGAGTTGTAACTTGTTCTGTCGTTCCTCTGCAAGTTGCGTGTGTAGTTCCAGCTCAATCCATTCAAAACTTTTGATGTGGACACAGCGCAGAACAGGCTACTCATGGTTTGCATACTCGCGCACTTGAATTACATACATTTATAAAAATACTTTATTTGTATTTCGTTAAATGTACACCATACTCACCGGTACCGAATTGCAAATAAAAATTTTCGATCTTGATAAAGCCCATATAGAAATCTTAAATGTTTTGTTTATTGCTATTGGGGTGGGACTAAGTCCATTGTACTACGGCCACTTCTGGCCTATTGTACCAGCCCCAGATCATAGGTGAGGGTGATTGTGGAGCAATTGGTGGAATGAAGATTGCCAGGGGAAACCGAAGTACTCGGAGAAAACCTGCCCCAACGATACTCTGTCCACCACAAATCCCACTTGACCAGACCCGGGATCGAACCCAGGCCGCCGCGGTGGGAAGCCAGCGACTAACCGCTTGAGCTATGGCGCGGCCACAATCTTAAATGTTAGTACTAACCCTATTACGAAGAGTCGCTTTTGGAAAATACAAACGATGTTATGTTTCACCTTCATTTCATGATTTACACAAACCACAAATGCATTTGTCCAATAACGTTCGGTGCAAGACAACAGATAAAGTTGTCCCTGTGCTTAACTAATTCAGCACTACGCCATGAAGACGTCTGGGGGAGTGGATGTATAGATCCACTTATTCTTGACCTTGGCATTACTTCAAGGTGAGCCTCACGCCCCGGCCACTTTTCCTCCAGTACCCATTGGATAGGAGGCTTGATGGACCCAAGAGCAAGTATGGACGACACGGAGAGGACAAAATCTTGCTCATACCGGGACTCGAACTCTGA